TGGGATGGATTAAGAAGAAATGATCACATGTACCAGCCCCCGTGGAAATTTGGATTAATGATGGAAACTGTGGTGACTTTTCATTGGAAGTCTGACATGAAATGTGATAACAAAGCAATATTAGCTTGTTTGTGTCATGGGTGTCTTGTCACGTTTCCTGTTTTGTTTTGTAGTCCTTCCTGTCTGGTCCCAGTGCTGCTTTCCCATTGGCTCTCTGTTGGTTTCCTGACTCCTCCCTGATCACCTCCACCTGTGTCTCACTGTTTCCTTCCCTGTCTGTTGTATTTATTCCCCACTCTGTCTCTTGTTTGTACTTGTCTTTTTGTCAGTCATCCAAGCTTTTTCCTATTCTTGCCTGGTATTCCTGACCTTTGACCTTTGCCTACCAGTTTTCGTACCTGATAATTTTTTCCGATTAAACCACTATGATCCTCATTCCCTTGCCTGGAGTCCTGCATTTGGGTCCCGGTGTTATTATGAAGTTAGAGAAAAATCCAGTTTTGTGCTTTTCTTGATGAGAGACACTCATTTTTGGATTAATGTTGCAAACTTTTTAATGCAAGTCCGTCCAACTGAGGTTTAGTCTGAGATGATAAAGAATACTTTAAAGATAATTTTTACCTAATTTGAAGTTAGAGAAAAATCCAGTTTTGTGCTTTTCTTGGTGAGACGCTCATTTTTGGATTAATGTTGTAAACTTTTTAATGGAAGTCCATCCAACTGAGGTTTAGTCTGAGAAGATAAAGAACACTTAAAAGAGCATTTTTACCCAATTTGAAGATAGAGAGCAATCCAGTTTTGTGCTTTTCTTGGCGAGACGCTCATTTTTGGATTAATGTTGTAAACTTTTTAATGCAAGTCCGTCCAACTGAGGTTTAGTCTGAGATGATAAAGAACACTTAGAGCATTTTGACCTAATGTGAAGCTAGAGAAAAATCCAGTTTTGTGCTCAACTTGGTGAGAGACGCTCATTTTTGGATTAATGTTGGAAACCTTTGAATGCAAGTCAGTCCAACTGAGGTTTAGTCTGAGATGATAAAGAACACTTAAAAGAGAATTTTTACCCAATTTGAAGATAGAGAACAATCCAGTTTTGTGCTCAACTTGGTGAGAGACGCTCATTTTTGGATTAATGATGGAAACCTTTGAATGCAAGTCAGTACAACTGAGGTTTAGTCTGAGATGATAAAGAACACTTAAAAGAGCATTTTTACCCAATTTGAAGATAGAGAGCAATCCAGTTTTGTGCTCAACTTGGTGAGAGAGGCTCATTTTTGGATTAATGATGGAAACCTTTGAATGCAAGTCAGTACAAGTGAGGTTTAGTCTGAGATGGCAGGGACTGTAATAAAGAACACTTACAGAGCAGTTAGACATAATTTGAAGTGAAATTTGAAGAGAACAGTCCGGTTTTTGGTCTTAACTTGGGGGAAGCCTGGTGAGGCCGACTCCTCAGAGATGAGGCTGATTTGGATTTGGATCCATTGTTTTGTTCAGGTGTTCCCTTTATTTCTCTGAGCAGAGTGAGTAAATATGGAGGGAGTCTAGGAGGATCTGGGCTGGAATGGGAGGGTGAGGCCTCCCTGTGGGATCCCAGATGTCACAATAAACATGGAGGACTCCCCGAGGAGAGAGGGAGGAACAAATGTGCCTCTGGACTCTGTTTGTTCAGGAGCAGGTCGTCGTGTAGACCAGTGTTTTTCAACCACTGTGATGGTCAGGTGTGCCGTAGAAAATCATCCTATTTCACCTAATTGGTCTAAAAAGATTTTTTGACAAGGAATTAATTATCTGCAAATAATATGCCAATTTTTGAGTGTCTGTGTTGTACTAGTGACTGGTGGTGTAATCATGTAATAATTCCTTATGATTTTGTATATAATTTTGTTAATGTTAAGTACAATTTGAAAGAAGAAATATGAAATATGATAAAAATACATTTTTGTGTTTAATTGAATCCTATTCAAGACACCTGAGATAAGATAAGAATAACTATAGTGTATATATAGGCGGCTACAGATTTGTTTGGCATTTTTGGTTGGTGGTGTGCCTCGAGATTTTTTCAATGAAAAAATGTACCTTGGCTCAAAAAAGGTTGAAAAACACTGGTGTAGACGGACGGTGAGCGAGGAATCAGGACCACAGCTTCCTCCAGAATGAGGCCAAGGCACGTTTACACTGAGTCTGTGATCCAAAGCCAGTCAGACCAGACCTGATCTGATCTGTAGCATTACATCCACATGGGGGGGGGGGGGTGATAAGGGTCCTGTCTCTGGAAAAAGAGCAATCCACGGGGCGGAGTCACGCGCCCCATCTCAGCTCCCACAGCTGGGCCTCCAGATGTTAAACCTCCAAATGTAAAGAATCTAGCTGTTGGACCTCCAGATGTTAAACATTCAGATATTAAGTTTCCAGCTGTTAATACTACAGCTGCTGGGCCTCCAGATGTTGGGACTCCAGCTGTTTGGACTGGTAAACATCCAGATATTAAGTTTCCAACTGTTAATCCTCCACTCCAGATGTTAGAGCCTTTAGGTGTTAAGCCTCCAGATGTTAATCTTCCATCTTTTTGGACTGTTAAACATCCAGATTTTAAGTTTCCAGCTGTTATAGCCTCCAGATGTTGGGCCTCCAGCTGTTAAACATCCAGATGTTAGAGCCTTTAGGTGTTCAGCCTCCAGCTTTTAGGCCTCCAGATGTTGGGCCTCCAGATGTTTGGACTGGTAAACATCCAGATATTAAGTTTCCAGCTGTTAATCCTCCAGGTGTTAGGCCTCCAGATGTTTGGCCTCCATCTTTTAAGCCTCCAGCTGTTAATACTCCAGCTGTTTGGACTGTTAAACATCCAGATATTAAGTTTCCAACTGTTAAGCTTCCGGCTTTTAAGAATCTAAATGTTAAACATCCAGATGTTAAGACTCCAGCTGTTAAGACTCCAGATGTTAGAGCCTTTAGCTGTTAACCCTCCAGCTTTTTTGCCTCCATCTGTTTGAACTGTTAAATATCCAGATATTAAGTTTCCAGATGTTAAACCTCCAGATGTTAAGCCTCCAGATGTTTGGCCTCCAGATGTTAATCCTCAGATGGGGGTGTTTGGCAGGTGCTGCTCTGTGAGTTTCCCGTTGCAGACCCC